CGATATTATGTGCCTGAGACAAAATGGCTTGATGTATCTCTTGACTGGATTACTGACCTGCCTATCACCACTAATGGGCACGACCATATATTTGTGGTAATGTGCCAATTCTCTCATCGCTGTCATCTCATTCCCTTCAGCATGACCTGGACTGCTCAGCATACTGCTTCGATATATATGCAGCATATCTTCAAGCTCCATGGTCTTCCGAGGAACATCATCTCAGATCGAGACCCCAGATTCACCTCTACATTCTGGCAAACACTGTGGAAATCTACTGGTACGAGATTGTCTATGACGTCTTCACACCATCCACAGTCAAATGCAGCCAATGAGAGGAGCCATGCCTTCATTGAGGATATCCTCAGGTACTTTTCAATTTGTTGATTCGATATTCACCATCCTCTGGTTTATAAACTGATTAGATAATACTTTTTCATCCACAGGTGTTGTTGCAATGATACTTCAGCCAATTCGTGGGAGGACAAGTTGCCTCTGGTGGAGTTTGCAATTAACAACACAGTTTCTGCATCTACTGGTTATTCACCATTCTATCTCGACTCGATGGCGCAGCCACTTTCGCCTCATGACCTGGCAATCATCATTCCGCCAGAAGCTCCTGTTCCAATACAGAATGCTATTCGAGATCATTTTGACCAGTACTCGGCTGTACATGCCAACGCGGTAGACAACATTTCCCGAGCAGCAGAAATTAGCCAAACCAGATTCAATAAGACTCACATGCCCCGGCAATATGCAGTAGGGCAGAAAGTTCTTTTACGGACCGAGTTTATCCAATGGACTGGTTTGACAGAGGCACGCAGACACTTCAAGCAGCCATATATTGGGCCGTTTACCATATCCAAAGTGCTAAGCCATGGGCGTGCATACGAGTTAGATTTCGGAGACCTCGATATCCGTATCCATCCGGTACAGCCTGTATCCAGAATAGAGCTGTATAACGACTCGATCCAAGCACCTTTGCCTCCGCCACAGATGATCACTGAAGAAGGGCAACCACTGTTTGAGATATCACACATCATCTCAGATAAGATCACTAGAGGTGTCAAGTACTACTTAGTGTGATATGCAGGCTACGGCCCTGAGCATGACACCTGGGTCAAAGCCACAGAGCTGACCAATGCAGCAGACATGATAGCTGCCTATGAAGGCTAAACATTATATTAAGCCTGGTGCCCTTACTTCTTGTAATATATACTAATACATGTCGATCATCTATATACCTTGCTCTTAATGTTTTATCATTATGTTGCATAGAAGCGGGAAATTGATCCTTCCTTGCTAAAGGTGTAGTGAGCCTTGTTCAAAATCATACCCTTGCACAGATACGCACACATGCGAGATATCATATCTGTGGATAAATAAAAACTGCTAAATGCTACCTTTGCCAAGACCGTGGTTAGTCATCGGATTCTATGGCCAGTCATCCGAACTACCGGAGACATCGACTGAGGTAGACGGAGTTGTGATCCTAAGTTATGCCTGACACACATAACTAGATTAAATTTCACATTAGTACGTGGCGAATCCATTCTGAATCGACAGATGTTCGTCAAAGCGTGCGTACTGGACAAAACAATTGAGGAGTTGAGCAGACCGGTTAAGGATTATAAGTCCAATTCCAGGGCCACTCCGTTTGCATTAAAACAAGCCCCCGGTGAAATAACTCCGGAAACATCCAAAGGGCTCCCCATGACCGCCTGTGAACCTCCTTTGATGTCTTCAGGAGGGGAGGAAGGGTTGGGTGCACTATATATAATAACTGTGGAAACATGTACCGGTTCGTCGATCAGTTATATATATAAGGCCGAGAATCGTTCGATTATAAATTGTTAAATCGTGGGATCATCGTTCGCAAAGGCGTCGACGGCTAGCGCAAATAATCCGTAACGTAAACCTCGGATACCTTGAATCGTCACTCTGAAACACGATACGCGGTTCCAGCGTCAATCTGTATCACGAAACGCAATTCATTGAACCTTGAATCGTCACTCTGCAATACGATACGCAATTCAAAGGGGGCTACATCCTAAGAACTGTAAGGCTAATGCCTAAGGTGAGGGTTTAAAGTGGACTCAGTTCCCCCCAATATCCTAAAAACACCATGAGGGACGCCTCAAATCGGTGTAAGAAGACTGGTACCAGCAGAAGCAACAACAACAAAGACATCAAAGACATATACAAAGGTATGCCCGTTGTGAGGTCACAACTCTTTTAAGAGGGGAGATCTGTCAGGGTTATGACCGATGACACATGTGTCATACATGTCATACATGTCATACCATGTCATGTCGAGTCATGTCATATATCATAATGACACACAGTCGTCAGTACGGTCGACTATGACTGTACATGTCATCGAGATGATAAGTCACATCATCTGTCATTTATTCAAGGTAAGACTTGAATGACACATGTCATCGAGAGGCCGTATGTCGGACTCGAGAATGGCGAAGCAAGATGCTATCTTGAAGTACCGAACGGTTCGGAGAAGAAATCATCTTCGCTTCTAGCATGTGCGGAACAAGCATGCGAGTATCATATGGCGAACGCATTATTCGTTCAGCCGATACTAGTCGTTCAACCAATGCCTCGGGTTCACAACCCAATAGCGGTGCCATCTATGAGATGGGAGGCATTCGGTATAGATGAGGTAGCGTTGTGCTACAGCAGGATCTTCGGACGAAGTCTGCACTCATCACCCGCTCTTAAGCTGCACGCGTGTTACTGTTCAATAACACCTGTGCTATCTTATCATATTATATCATATCTTAAGGTTCGCTTGTGCGTCCTTATCAGGACCGGCGATCGTGTTGTGAGGCTTGATTTCGACGCGCGTACTGCTTCGGAGACTGCGGTTAGCTACACCGGTCCATCTAATTCCTAAGCGATTGTGCTCACAGCGGAAAAGCTTGCCTCTCACTCACACTACCTTACCCCGTGACTAGTGCACTCTAGAACCTCATCCCCTGATTCTCAGCCCCACGCCCCTATAAAGGCTTTTAGCCAGTCATACTCGGCGGTAATCAATAACCACCTAAGGCCGGTGGTGGGCGCAAACCTGTGGGAACACACACAGTGAAGCACTACTAACAGGTGTGCTACGCTCGCATATGTCAACCGTGAAATTGTGAAGCTATATACAAGATAATACGAAGTGATATAGCTTCCGCTGAAAGAATGTGATGACAGCCCCTAGGAAGTCAGGTGTGAAAATGACAAATGCTAGAATGAACTGTCTGACTACCGAAGTCGATATCGGAGATGGCGATGGCGTTGATGACAGTGAAGTAGTCATAGTAGTCGAGCCGTATCGGTGATGACACATATGACTATGACACTGTCGGCGTGCCAAATCCAACATATTATGAGAGATTTGAACACACTCATGAAGTCACAATCCGAGAAGTGGCTCGTACATAATAAACCGAAATTTCACTATTCTAGCCCACGCACGTTCATAATCCCTCTCAAAGTTACCTACGTTATACTTCACATATGCGACCAATATCGTTTAGTTAATTGTTCCTATTATCTTTCATCTTATTTTACGATTGTCGTGGGGCGGATTACTTAAATGTTACCTTTACTTTTGGAACAAAACAATACTTGAAGAGGGGGGGGGAACTGAAACGTGTATATCGAGGGTTGCCAATACTATACTTAACGATATGGCCGTCTGTCCACAGTGAATCAACCGAATCGTTTCTTAACACTGTATTGCGCGGGGAAATTGCTCGCCCCGCGCGCTGAGAGCCTTTACGATATATAATTCTAGAAAGTATACCAATGTTGTCGTTCTTGAATTATTTTATCAACAAATGCATATCTAAGAATTTAACAGTTATATGCTATACGATTTTTTTCTATTCACAATTTCGGAAATCCGAGCACACCACGTGGAAGCCCGCGGAGAGGGCTATAATTCTATCCGTTTATATGTTGGATTTGACCACTGTAAACGCCCCTAAAAATAGTGTTCGATATAACGGTCAAATCCAACATATAAACGGATAGAATTATAGCCCTTTTCGCGGGCTTCCACGACGTGGTTTACTCAAAACTTCCAAAAAATGATTTCCCCAAAAACGTATAGCGGTCAACGCTCGTGAATTAGAACCAATCACAAAGCTTGAAGAGTCCCGCTTCCATGCCATCCACTGCCCCGCCAATTATCTTGTGCGCGCATGACGCGCGTAAGCTACGCATCGTCCATTTTCCCGCAGATCCTGCGATAGTCATTAACGGAATGATGACAAAACTCAACAGGGAAAGGTCTAGCGATTTTCTATACATTTTACATTTCAGTGACGGCTCACTTACACTGCGCAGACGGTCATAACTTAAGTTCTAAACTGAATCAAAGAAACACAGTATGACGGATCCAGCACCACCGACCACTTCTTGTCCGCTGGAGGGCGGAAGCTACCACGACTGGCGGATATGATTAGTTATGCAAATAAATTGTTGACGCATGACATAGTCGTCATCAACAAGCATCGGTGGTCTAGTGGTAGAATAGTACCCTGCCACGGTACAGACCCGGGTTCGATTCCCGGTCGATGCAGCTTGGGGCAATGGTCTAGTGGTATGATTCTCGCTTAGGGTGCGAGAGGTCGGCGGTTCAATTCCGCCTTGCCCCCGGCTTTTTGCGCGCGCTCAAAATCATGCCGTTGATCATGATCGCCGATGTCCGATGGTGCTGGAGACTGTGAACGCGGAGGGTGCTATATACAGCATATATATATAACACATCGGAGCCCATGAGCTCTACTTGGCGTATCTGGCTCATGGGCGAACTTCCAGCAGGGCTGCTGTTATCGTATATATGCATCGTTGACGCGCACATGCCGACGGACTACCTAGGCCGCTAGGCGCTAGGGAGCCTCGGTCTCCGATGCCTCAACCGCTGGAGTCTGCAGCAGTATCGATAATTCGACGCGCAAGCAATGATACCACAAACATGAATCCCCAAAAATGGGGGCAAGGCGGAATTGAACCGCCGACCTCTCGCACCCTAAGCGAGAATCATACCACTAGACCATTGCCCCAAGCTGCATCGACCGGGAATCGAACCCGGGTCTGTACCGTGGCAGGGTACTATTCTACCACTAGACCACCGATGCTTATTGGTCAATGGAGGCTTCAAAAAATATAATTATCACCAATTTATGTGTGTTGTCTGAGTAGGCCTTAGCTACTTCACTCGACCGGATATATAAAGCATTCAAGCACGCCCACATAATTAGCAGCTTTCAATGTCACTTTATATAGCAACTACGTCACTGAAACCCCAACTTCCACAAGCAGTGTTCCGAGTGTCACGTTACATGTACACGTGTACAGTGACAAGAGGTAGTTATAGCTGCCACGTCAGACTATATGCTCTGGACTGCGCCTGGTCTTGTCGCTTGCTCGTCTTCGACTGATCCTACGGTCGCACTGCTCGCTCAGACCCGAATGCTATTTCTTGCCACGTCACTATCATAACTTTTGAGCTTTGTTTCCAAATCCTTGATGCTGTTCGATATACGTTCCTCCTATGTTATACGATTATTTTTATTTTTATTTTTATTTTTATTATCATTGGGTTTCAGGTATACGAAAAATAAAAATATTTAATACGCACTGAAGGTGCATATGTGTAATTGTATTATATTCATAAATATTAGCGGACGGGTCAATATATCATATATAGGTAATGACGTGTCTCAGTGACACGTCATTTTGATTCTCAATCCTGCAATACCCGTGACACACGCGAGGCATGACCGCCTGCGCCTGCGTACGGCGTATCAAGCCCATATTTAAAAACGCGACGGATATAAAATCCGAGATTAAATACTTATAGCGTTAATATCGGGATTGCTTATATGTAGCCGCCCCGGAACGTGCAGGTGCAGAAAAAGCATACCAAACTTTGTCGAAAGGGCATTCTGAAGGTTTGAGGTAGTCGAGGGCTTAGGTCCTCACAATCGTACTTTGGGGATTTGCGTGAATCCAATTTCTCGCAAAGATTTGGCATGCTACTTCTTTACATCATCTCTAGAGATGTACGAATGCAGCTGTTCCCATCGGTTTCTCGCAACGCCCCAAGTAACGTTTGTTCAACAGCCCATATGGACGTACTTGCTGCGTTGGTTTGCGTATTTAGTAACTTACACGCGCCATCCCGGATGTGCCGCGGGGCTCGAAGCGTGTGAACCAAATGACCAAATGAAACACAGATGCACACATACAGCGTTGAAAATATGTTTCAGTCGTTGTTATTACTATTTCTTAGCGTTCCCTTCGGCAGGATACCGAAGGGAATGCCGTTTTGCGGATGCCGGTTCCCGCCTTCCGCCACACGAAGCGGGGAATCCGGGATCTGCTTCCAGTCACCGAATCTGTGCGGGGATGCTTCCTAGCGTTCATAATAGCTTATAATAAACATTATTCGCTTCTAATATATCGCGACGAGTTATCAATCTCTTCATTAATCTACCCTGCTGCACTAGGTTTTCACAGTGTAAAGCGCTTAAGAAGCGCGAACGGAAGCGGACAGATTCCAGAAAGATACCGGTGCGATTTCGATAACGGTTTAGATGTCCTTCTGATTTAATCCGACGGCTGTTCGGAATTTGTAAACAATGAAAAATATAATTCGCATCTGAGGAATCGAAAAGGAATCCGTCGCGCTTTTCATTACACGCTTAATACGCCGTACTGCGCCTCGTCGTCGCGCGTTGCTGCTCCCATAAGAGCAGCGTGTCCACGAAGGACATAAATGGATCCGGTTGCTCGCTGCGTATTAAAGGCCTTTGTGTCGCTTGAGCCTCGTCAAACCAGGCGGGCTTGCCTGGGTTTACAAGGGCAGCCCCGACCGCGACCGTGCCATCAGCGGTCGTCGTCCTTTCAATTTTTCCTCCAACTCATTTTTACCTACGATATACGTTCCTCCTACGTTGTACGATTTATTTTATTCATTATTATTATTATTATTTTGTTATTATTATTATTATTTTATTTTATTCATTATTATTATTATTATTTATTATTATTATTATTATTATATATATCACCATTTTGCTCTCTCCTCCCGAAATTTGGAAACGAAGCGACAGCATCGAGCATTTGGAAACAGCATCGAGCAGCCCGCGACAGCCCGCGACAGCCGATTCAGTCGCGTTTTTGCGCGGTTCGGCACGATTGTTCTCTTTTGGCGACCTTTCGCATGAATCGGCTCCCATAAGCTTCCCTTGTGCGAAGGTGGGATAAGGCGAATGGCGTCCCCCCCCCAAAATCCCACCCCGCCACCGTGGGAACACCATCCTTCCTACCTGACGCTTTTTGGCAGGGCCCTTACCATGTGCACCCACTATCGGGAAAGCCAATCAGAACATGCCAGCTCAAAGATGCCATTGCAATACGACTTTTGTAAGTATACAAATGGCAAATCACCATTGGTTGTCGATGACGAGCGACAATACCATGGAGATATCTGTAAGGACAATTTGGAACTCTGATATCCGAATGTGGATTGCTGTGGATTGTGGATTGTGTATGGCAAGCGGTCAAGCTGGTGTAGCTTCAGGAAATGATACCTCGGACGCGATGATGTTTGTTTGTTGCTCCACTTGCTTCAAGAGACCACGCTGCAGCTCGCCATGCGAAGAAAAATCCATTGGCATGCCAATGTCATTCGTCCATTTACGCTGCCAGCTCGCAATTCCATATTTTATGCGTATATTCTGCTCACAAACACCAACATAAACACTGTAATAATAATTCCCGATATTTGTCGAGGCACCCTGCCGTTCGGGTCATACAGTTCTCTGATTTCTTGGGCCCTCCCTGCAACGTTGTTGCAGCAGTTCAGGTTGCGATCGGCTACTGCCATCTGCTGGTCGCTTATCGTCGCTCTCATTATTTTATGCACGTTTGGGGTCTCAGTTATGCCTCGAGGTGGCTCCATCGTACATATCTGTGTGCGTATGCACGTTATCCTTAGTTCTCGTTGGCTTCGCACTTGCCGATGCTTCTGCAGGTGTTGTGCACCTCCGAAGTTTCTTTGGTTCGTCAGCTGAGTCCGCCTGCGTGATTCGGCCAGGCGTAATTCCAGTTTGTGCCCTGAGGGTGCACCCTGGCTCACGCCACTGACGGGCGGGCAAGACACTCGGCCTCCTCGTGGCCCCGCCTGGTAACGTGATGCAGCACTTTGTAAGTGCTACATCACGGCTAACCGGAGTGTCAAAGCAGGTGCTCATACTCGTCCAAGTCGTGGTATGCACACAGGGAAGCAAGGGCAGGCCCATGTTGGAGGCTGGTTTTGATTCGGGCAAGATTGTAGGTGCCTGCGTTCGGTGCGTCAGCGGCGGCGGCGATCGCGGCAGCGGTGGGGACCTGAGGGAGGTACGATCGCTCCCTCATACCAACATTTGTTCTGGGTGAGCCTTGCATGCTGGTGAAGGATCCTTCGAAATGGGGGAGGACTCCAGACTTACTGAGGCGAACGGAGGCTGACTGTGGGGGACGAGGGAGTGGGCGGTTTGTGGGAGGAATAATTCCATTTATAGGGGTGCGTGGTGCCTGCAGGCGCCGGATTTTACGGTGCTGGAGCGACAGTGGCGGCGGCGGGAACAGCGGTCGGGACAACAACGGGGACCTGCGTGAGATGCGGCAACCTCCTTGAACTAAACTGTGCCGCCTCGCGCACACGCTGCGAGGCCCATTCACTTCATTCACCTGAGAGCATATACACAAGCATGCCTTTTGAACTGAAGCACCATGTCCCGGTCGCCTCGTGGTGGAGTCTATTGAGGCACTATTGAGGATCTCTATCTTGACTGTGACCAAGATCCTGAAAGGTAACAGAGCGTGCAATACTTGGAATGGAGGACCACAGGGAAGAACAGTCCAAATAACTTGGCTAAGGGGAGGTAGGAGGGCCGCCAAGCACGGGGCTTCCATTCGATACGGATCATTGCAATGGGCGTACAGACTGTCGAGCTGGAGTGGAATGCATTGATAGATATCCATCTTCAAGATTAAAAAATGAAATATCAACTATTAATTGAAAAGCAAAGTGATAGATATTGAATGATATCGGAATTGTCAACCACCATTTTGGCAGGGTTGCCTTCGTTGAACAAAGTGATGCCCACACTAGCTGACGAAAACTCAGTGTGCGGTGCCCGAGACATCAACGTCGTCCTCAGCTCAAAAACGCATATTCTTGTTGGGCTGCCCATTTTTCCCCTCACAGGGGGGCAGTGATGAGCAGTTGTCAAGAAGGCAACGACCGGTTGGTGAACTATCGGCCACCGGGAGGGCTTAAGACACACGGGCTGTGGGGATGGGACCCCAAGTACGAACCGTGTAGAACGACAGTTGCAGTGCAAGTTTTGAGCGCATCACTCAAGCTCACGGCTTTCTTGCAGGGTATCTAGTGCAAGGGCTTCAATCCCATAGAGTTGGTGTTGGCGGGCGCACAAGGTCAGAAGGAAGCAATTTAATTTATCTTTCTCAGCCCCTTGGGACAACCCTATGGAATACCAGTCGTGCCGTGGGTGGGCAAGCTCTCTTGAGTCCAGACTCTGGGGCAGGCAGGGATTCCAGGGAACAGAGGGGTGGTCCTGATTGTAGGCTTGATGGTGGGGAGATGGCACGGGCAGCTCGGGGGGCAGAGGTGAACCGGTTTCGGAGACACAACAATAGTGCGCCGGCAGTGCAGTTGTAGAGGGTCTCGGGTGTCCCAGTGAGGCTTAGGGGGTCCCATTCTTCACTAGTGGGAAAATCCGGATAAGTGTCCCGAAGTGCATCAAGGCACGGTATCGATATCTCCGATATCTGGTATATCGATATATCGGCAATATCGGTATCAGTCGACAACTTTTTTACGACATATCAGAATATCAATATTTGTCGACAACCTTTTAGCACATATCAATATCTGTCGACAACTCCGAAGCACATATCAATATCAGTCGACAACTCAGAAACAGATATCAATATTTGTCGACATGTGACGCGCACAATTGTGATATCGATATCGATCGGCGATATCGAT